AGAAAATCATTTTAGATTGTGGTTTCAAGAACATACATATTGCAGAAGAAAGAAGCAGGGAAGCTGTTGCATTAAATGTTTGGGAAATTACCTTGGAGACGGGAGAATCAAAAACTTTTGTTTCAAAATCCGAGTTGGGTAAGCGCGTTAGCTCAGCTCCATCATAAAACATTATATATATTGGAAGCTGGCGTAGGCTTGCTGCACGGTTTCGCAAAAATTGTAAATGATGGAAGTATATATGAAGAAAGCACAACAATTATCGCATGTTTGAGAGGGAGTACTAGATAACAATCTAAAGTTTTAAAAAGAAGCTAAATATTTTTTTATTATACTTTTTATAGTCCTATCCAATACTTTTTACCAAGCATGCGGTTCATGTAATAATATGATGTGATAGAGTAAGCGGTCAAAAAGGTAACTTGAAATAAATGGTGATTGAAGTTACTAAAAATGATCTTAGTCAAGATATATTTCTACCAAGGGTGATTCCAAACTTCTCAGCAGCATTAGGAAAGAGTCCAAGATCAACTATTCCGAATGATAAATATTTGTTAGAATATCTGTATAACCCAAAAAAAAAAAAGGTATGAGACAGCTATAGTAAAGCAAGAAAAATGCTTGACTAAAAGTAGTAAGCTGATGAAGGCATTTTAGCAAAATTGACAATGGATTAGAAATCATAAAATCAAGCAGAAGAGCATAGCAAAGACTCAAGACTTACGTAATAGAGAGTTCAGGAAAAAAGGAACTTGAGTTTATGCAACCGGATGTAGACGAAGAACGAAATTCAACCTGTTAAATATGATAAACTGGTCCTGAGCCGAGAGAAAAGATACCAAAAATATACACTTGGATGCCCGTAACAATGAAAATGTAGAAACTATCCTTTTCATAGGCAGCATAGTTTAGTCAAGTCACTTATGCACTATAATACCCGCACCTGAATTTTCAGGTCTAATTATCAAAAAGTGAAAATTTAGGGGGCTCAATTGAGGGTTAATCCACCTTCTACGACCTTGCAGCAAACTTACCATAAATGCTAATTCCCACATGTTTTTGTTATAAAGAAATGTTGAATTCTTGGTCAAACACTTATATAGAAAATTCTTGATATATGCTTTTTGTCATATTATTGATTGACCAAACATAAGGTAATGTGTAGTGTGAATGCATGAATGTAGGAACGAATGAGAGATTCTTGCTCATTTCACAAATTTCAAAGAACAATTTTCACCATCATGGGTTCTCCTTGATGATGCATACCTAGTCTTGTCCTATTTAAACCCCATTCACATTCACATGCTATCACTCACTATTATTTTTAATCCAAATAATATACACATATACACGTACGCAGCCGAAGTGGAAATTGTAGAGGGATCAAGTCTCTATTACTCTTTTTTTCAAATTTCACTGTAAGTACGCTGCCTAGGTTAGATTATTATTATGTTATGAATTTCAAGAAAATTATTATGGATCCCACATGATATGATATGATTATGATTATGTTAAGGGAACTGGAGTTTAGTTGCGCTACACATAAGAATTCTTACTATCTATGCTCGATAAAATTTGTGTCTCCATTATGTTGATTATAATCATTATGCTCCTTTAAGTTATACACGATAATAATTCATGGTGTACTTATTGAGATTTTATAAATCTCACTCTATAATAATTCCCCTTTTCAGGCAATTAATGGTTCGAGGCAGCCAACATGGAGATGACAACGGGCTAGGATTAATAAGTTATATTGTGTAACTTTGAATTTCCAATTTAATTGTTATGTTGGAATTATTTTCTTCATTTATTTTTCGCAACTACATAATAAAACCAAAAATTTATTTACTTATCGAAGAAAAATAAAATCATTTTTATTCTTATTTTAGTTCTTATGAAAGAATTAAGTTTTATTTAGTAACACTTGAATAGTCAAAGATTTGGGCCGTCACATGCATTGGGCTGCAAATCAATATTTATTGAAGGTTCAACTAATCATGGCATTATCGACATGCCAGCAGTTGGACAAATCATGCTGCACTATGCATGAGCAAATATACTAAATATGATGCAACCAATGAATAATTGTGTTGAGCAACATAGAGTGCTATAAGCAACTAAATTTCCATCAAGCAAAATAAACAAAACAAGCACATTCAAAGGATAAGCTCAAATTTCCCATAGAACTACAGCTCAAGCATCAAGAAAAATAAAGAGAAGTAAAAATGGATATTTTTACAGGAAAAACGTCCGCTCATTCGAGTCAAATACAAATCATTAGCAAAGATGTAAATATAAGAAAGGTAAAGAAAACAACAATATGCTTCTTGAATATCACATATTATTGGGTTCTTCGCAATCTTTGTAATGGTTTAAAAATATAGAATAAATACCAAGATGGATATAAGGCAAAAAATAAATAGGCTGCCCTTGACGGCATGTGTCATAACAACAACATTAAGCTATATTTTATTCCCAATAAATTTGAGACTAGTTGCCACATCTTTCTTGCCATTATTAATTTTTAGCTACCTCTAAAAAGTTCGTAAACTCATATTTTTACGCAACCATTTTGGACGATATTAATTTCAGTCTCTCTCTCTCTCTCTCCTTTTTCTAACTTGTTCTATTCAGATTGCACCTTTATTGTGAATAGCAGCGTTAGGTATAAGAAAAATACCATGTAAAAGTCTGCCTTCATATATTTTTGTCTTACAACTTCATCTCTTATTTTATTCATTCTAGGTTGATCACACACCCATTTTCATATCTTTATTTCTACCATGATTATTTTGTGGATATCATCATCTAATGACCCACTTGGTACATAGAGTATAATTAGTCTAATCGTTTATAATATACATCTTCATATCCTTTCATTAGTAACAATCAAATTCAATGATTTAAAAGTGCTTGCACATAAGGACAACACAACTTCATTGTCTCGTTCAATCTTTGTTTCTATTATGACTAAAAGAGCATTCCAGATATTCCGTGTTAGTTATACTTAATCTAGAATGTTTAGATTCCTAAACACTACAATTGCAAATTTTTCCATCTAACATTCTCAATCTCATCAACTTAAATAATATCATTAGTGGATAACGTGCACCAAGAGACGTTATCTAAGATATGGCTCAAAAGCTCATCCATAACAAAACCAAAATAATAAACATTAACCCCCCCGAAGAAGTAAAATAAATATTACAACCCTCAGAATCTCTTTTGTTGTTATCCAAAAATTTGGATGTTAATAAAGACCAGCATAGTGCACCGATTAGATGATGTAACACCTGTACATCTGACAGATTACCTTGAACT